ATTACATCAAATCTTCCCAAAACCATAGCCCTCATCTTTCCTCCAAAGAGTTTAAGCTTCACACACAACAATGCATTACACGACGCAGGGTTAAACCAGCTGAATCTTACCTCCTGAACTGGCTGCAAACATACAGTTAAAGCTACTAGGCAGTGAAGCAGCAGATGGACCAGAGAGATAGGGCAAAGGAAAGTCGCCTCCTTTGAACCATGTGATTGGTATAAATTCCTCCGTTGTTGAAGAAGAAATCAATCTTTGTGACCAGAATTACAAGAGCATAACATATCTACACAAGCTTCAAGCTGGTAACAGAATAACCAATGGGGAAGGAAGTACGGATGTGAGTTTGTGCCATGCCACCTATGTCAAAAAGTATCAATGAAAACCAATTTTCTTCATAATAAACAAAACAGGGGAAAGACAAATGAGAAGGATAGAAAAAAATAAAACATTACAATTTACAAAACAGGGGACAAGTTAACTTTTATCTTACAACTTTAAGCTCACAGGTTATCCATAGAAATTGATCACAATCTAAACTAGCTCAAATGAGACTCAAACACATTCTTATTATGGAAGGAGTACCTAAAAATGTTGTGCATTCGATGCCTGCATGTAGGAATGTGTCGCTTGAGATATTCCAGGTAAACCTTTCCGTTTCTCCTCATTGTGACAATTGTTTTGTAGAAAAACAGAGAGCTATATACAGTGTTAAATTCTCCTCCGGAAACGACCTTACATACGAAAATCTCTCGAAGAGAAGATATGCTGTCCTGCAAAAAGACAGATAGTTACTCAGCATTTGAAATTTAAATAGGATATAAGTTGCGATCAGAAAAACAACCCCAATCAGATTGAGTTTTTGTCTAAAGCACAAATTGTTCTTCTTCAAAATGAGTTTGATCAGAAAAAAGCATGAGACCAGTAAACAGGAGAGCCAAGGTAATTGACAAAAAACGTTAATTGGATTACATACCTGAGTGTGATCTGAGTTTGCTCATATCATATCATATGATGATGACTTGATCATTTATCCTGATGCAAGGAATGTGAGATATCTTGGCCCAATCTTTCCCTGTCTTATTCTGATACCTTTTCTCCAGAGCAGAACAATTGTAGATGTGAAGTAAAGAAAGAGATGGCGGCAAACCCTCTTCTGGCAAGAATTGGATACTGTCACACTCACTAATAACTAGCTCTTGAAGAGAAGTGAGGTGTTGAAGTCCCTCTCCTGGCAGGAATTGGAGGTTGTCACACTCGTCAATTTGCAGCGTTTGGAGAGAAGTGAGGTGTTGAAGTCCCTCTCCTTCTCCTGGCAGGACTTGGATACTGCGACACGCACTAATAATTAGATAGCGAGGAGTGGTAGGGAGCAGGTGTTCCTTGAGCAACGTTTCCAAGATACTTCCACCAATTATAAAATATTTAAGGGAGACAAGTCCTTCCATTCGCCAGTAATTTACCACTGAAGCCCTCAGTCTCTCACAACTACGAGTGCACAAATCTTGGATGTTGGGAGGCAAACCCCCTTCTGCAAATGACTCCAGATTTGGAAGATCATCAACCTGCAACACTCGAAGGGCTGTGAGGGTGTGAATGCCTTCGGGCAATGACTTTAAATTCTTGCATTCGCCGACTGTAAATTCATTCAAGTTGGGAGTGGTCCATCCTCCCTGACATTGAAAACACATCAAATTTGGACAACCACCGATATACAATTCTCTGAGATGACTGAGATTCTCATTAACTCCTCCTTCTTCAATGAAGGAAAGGGATTCCAGATTCTCACAACCCC